ACGCACTTCGCGGGAGTAGGCGTGCTGACATGCGCAACACGTGGCCGGGCCCTCGGAAACCGGTGCGTGGAATAACGGGGCTGGGCGTTTAATTTTCACTTTCAGTGCCATAAACGAAGCACCGAACATGCTCGTTGCTAGCACGGTATGTTCACCAGACAGGAAACAAAGTGCAAAGGCATCGGTGGTCGAAGGTAACTAGGCTTTTATGTCTGCTAGGTTTCACAACCGTGCAAGAGAGTTTAACGGACGTCGGTATTGAACATGCTACCCTTCAGGGAGTGTGCTCTCGCACTGGCGCCATAGGTAGCGAAGGTTGGCAAACGCGCCTCGAGCCTTTGCTATACGGTTCTTGATCTCGTCTTCAACCCATAGGGCGCTGATACAACTTTCCAGGTAGCTGAATCGTTGACCGACTTCTAACGGAGCCCCACCAAGGGGCAGCGCAAGAGGCGGTCCCTGCCAAACCTGGAGCAAAAGTTCGCAATTCGAGGGTGCAGAGCAAAACCCGAACACGCCGACAGCCAGTGCTAACCTGTCCAGTGCAGTCTGGCACACGTGAGGGCGATATCGTTAGAAAACTTCAAGTCAAGAAGTCGTTCGCCTGGGAGCAACTCCACACCTTCTAAGTCGATCTCCATGACTTTGTCAGTGGCGAAGTTGAAGAGGAAAGGTGACAGCGGGAATCCTTGTCTCACACCACTGGAGAGATTGACAGGCGGTGACATTTTGCTGCAAGCCCTCACGCTGCCTGAGCTAGCTCATATAACACTCAAATAATATTTACATACATCTCTGGCACATGTTTCAGTAGTAGACCGTCCCAAAGGGCACGCCGATCGACCGAAACGAAGGCACGTTTGATGTCCATGAACACGACAACGGCGGGTCGCCAAAAAGAAAGATGCTCCAACAATTGACACAATTGACCTCAGGGAAACCCGGCTTGCTCTTAACAAAGCTGACCTTCATGAGTGGTAGTCAGTCTGTAAAGGATGCCAGAGGCAAGCGATCTGGAGGCGGTGGGGATCAGATTGATTTCTCTATGGTTGCCGCATTCCGAACGCGAGCGTCCATTGAAGATCGAGACAATAACTGAGCTGCACCAGTTGGCTGGAAAGGTTTCCTGCTCCCACAGGTTCACAAATAATTTATGTAAATCATCAACAAGTGTAGGTCCCGAACTTAAAGAGGGCTGGACGAAGAGCAGCTGGTCCCGTGGCTGTATCCAACTTCAACAGTCCTATCAGAGCGAAAGAGCAGATCCAAATGGAAAGTCCACAGAGCAGGGCGATCAGTGGCCGTCGAGAAAGCTGACAAGTCCGACCGATTAAATTGCCTTCCAAAGTGCTCAGCCCAACACTCCAAGCGTTTTGACAAGTTGTGGATAGGCTGTCCAATTTCGCCACATTTAGTTTCACTAACACCAGGTATCCTGCTGTCTGTTTCCCGAATCAGACGGAATAACTTCCAATGGTTATCAACAGCAGCGGCCACTTCCATCTTTAACACATGATGAGTCCACCAGGATTAGCGGTCGCTCTTCAGGCTTGCACGGAATTTTACCCTGAGGTTTTCATGAGTCTCATAGTATCCGATTCCAGCAGAAATTTGCCGACGAGCGTCGATTAGTCCCAGAGACTGAGAAGAGACGCAATGTCTGTATTGGTTGTTAGACTTACCACACGAGGATTTGCTTACTGTTAGTAAAGTCTGGTGAACACGGGACCAGTTGCCTTCAATCGCATTCAGTGAGCGCGTATCCAACCCGCATTTCAGCGTACTCCGAGACGCATTCAGTTGGCTTCGCCAGTTGGCTGGTGTCAATGCGCTTACAGGTGCGTCGTGCACGTCCGCCAAAACGCACCCACATGTCAGCACATACAAGTGCACAATCAATGTCCACACTTGTTCCAAATCGAGAGACAGTTTTGGACACAGCCTCTCCAGCGGTAACTTATCGCAATGTGATCGATTTGTGTCCAAGGCTGGTGGGCGCCATGTTACCCTCCAGCGGATGCTGTGTCGGAAGTAAGTGGTCGCAAGTACTAAGCGGACACCTTCACACAAATGGAGTAACCGCTCACGGTTCCCATTACGGGAGCCTACATCAAATTTGTTGCCCAGATGCAGCTCATCAGTTGACAATTTTCCAACTTGTGCCTTCAGATCCCCCGCCAGCACGACAGTGTCCGTGCTTCTTCTGTGGCGAAGGAGCTGGGTCAGTTGGCGGTAGAAGTCGTTCTTCACCGAATCATCGCTACAGTTTGTGGGCGCGTAGGCAGCGATGACGAATTGACTCCTGTTAGTCCCGCGCGACTTCGAAGCTTTGAACGAGCCAGCCAATCGGACCGCACACATCCGGCTATTGTTTGGGGTGCAATCAACCGGAGCAGCTTCGGCCCAGAAAGTCGGGGCAATACCGACACCGTCTTGGCCGGTACCCGAAGCTGCATCGTCTCCGGATAGGCGTAATGAAAAAGCACTGCTAGTGCCACCTGAAGGGGATCGCAAAGCGAGCACAGAACTGGAGTCTTGCAGGCGCGTTTCCGATAAGCAGCAGATATCGATCGACAGGGTCTCTAATGTTCGGGCGAGTGTTGCCTGTTGACCGCGCTGTAACAATGTGTGTACACTGAGGCATGCCAACCTGATAGAGGATCGCGGACTCCAAATGAAGTAGATGAACTGGGCATGACCGCTTGGTTGAAGATGGGCTTGTCGCATGTGAGATGCAACTAGAATCTAAACGCGTGTCAAAACACGGTGGGAAGAGTCAAGAATTGGGGGTTACAACGAGGGGATGAAAGTGAAGTTGGAACGGAACGATAAAGGTGATAAAGAGTAAGTGGGGGATAAGGATAAAGGAATGCTTGAACAGCAGCATCCAAACCCTATCCGCCTTGCACGCTGCAGCAGATAGGGTACCGGTTATTCTCCTTTGCGATGGCCAGAGGATCAAGAAGTTGTTCTGGAAAGATTCATAGTACTGTATGGGTAGGATGCTGCCAGGTTGCCCAGGCCTAGACAGGAGAACGATTGGGGTTTGCAACCAAAGCCTTTGGTTCAAAAATCTGACCGCAAGGACGCGAGTTTAGTAGTGGGCTACAAAGAGTCCGTTTTATGGAATAAAGAGCCACCTTCATTTCAAGCCCCAATCTAGAGGACCAGGAGGCTGAGTTTGTCTGGCCACTAACCGCGTCGGGTGTTGTTCATGGCTGCTAGGCATGGCTAGAGGAGGCGATGCGGTGGGCTGCCTAAAACTTGGAGAAGCAGCATGAAGAGGCTGACAAAATAGTTGGCCTCAGTCGGTTGTTCTCAATTCCTTGGTTGGAATCCCATAGATGCTGAGTGTTTCTGGTTGGAGAAATTAGAAGTCATGGCGCAAGAATGAAGTCAGTGGTGAAGGTGTAGCTCTGCGTGTTGCGGTGAGTTCCCATCACCCTCCTAATAAAATAAACTAACAAAACCAAGTGTAAGTGGGACATCGGATGAAAAGAGGCCTGCTTTTGCCTCCGATCTCCGATCTTGTTTAACCAATGCGCCATGATTTCGAAGGCACAATGTAGGTACCTAGATTGCATCACATATGTATGTATTTACAATTACCAGTGGTCCACTCGTGTTTGAGGAAGACAGCTAATTGACGCCGAGCAATCCCGAGACTGATCACGCGGAATTCGAAAACGTGTTTGGGTTGGGGATTGTCCGGCCGTAGGATAACTAGGTTTTCTCCCCTTCAAGGGTCCCAACAAAAGTTAGGGGACTGGTGACCGAGTAGAGACTAGCGCGCATTGAATAACTTAATGATTCCCCACCGATATCTGTTCTCATCCATTCAGAATATAACGTAAAGTCGTCGGGGTGTCTGCGTTTTCCCGGAAACCTGTCCGGTGTAAACTTATCATACGATCTCGGTTAACAAAGAGGATATCCTCAAGAACATCGTCATTACACCAGTTGGACTGTGTGAATTCCTAGGGACACCATCCCGAATGTGCGACATCACACAAAACGTTCGAAGCTTCATCTACTCAGTCGTAGGTGGACTCGACTCCGTACCCCCTTACATCGACATTTTGGCGGAAAGCTCATAGTAAGAGGAACAACAAACGGATCAACGGCTCTTGTTCAAGAGAGTGCAGGCGCACAACGTCACAATCAGTCCCGAAAATTGCATTCCTATGCAGCTGCGCACAGTGCCAAGTTCTGAGGGCATTCAAACTATGCATACCAGAGGGCAAACCATAAGCAACTTTCCCCGTCCGTATACTCTAACAGCAATTCGACACTTCAGCAACATGGTCAACTACTACCGTAGATTCTCGCCAATTTGTGTCGAGCTAGTACAAAAGTTCACGGATCTTCCGGATGGATGCAACAGCGACTAGGTAGATCTTACGCCTAAAGTAAAAACCCTATTCGGAGCCGGCAAAGAAACACTTGTTTCCGCCTGGAGCACCGTGAGAATCAAGCTACGTATGCAGTTGAGCAAGGTAATAAGCCAGGGTCTGTCAAATGTGGTCAAAAGAACTTCCAGACGGGGGGAAAGAGGTTGGATTTGAAGTGTAAGTCCGAGCATCAGAGGACTCAAAGTTCCTATGAAAGAGGCGACTGAAATCCAACGCGAATTAGTGAAACAAATAAAAATAACTTTATTGATCTGAAATGGTTCAGGAAGAACGTCTAAGCTTGATGTGTGCATGCCAGTTTGCAGGGAAATGTACACAATATTAAAGGGTGATTCGAATGCCAAGGACACAGTCGGTGAGAAATAGGAAATACAAGAGTACTGATCACATGATAAAAGAAATAAAACGTTTTCCTGTGCATGCAGCACGAAGCAGTGAGTAAAAATAGTAAGTAACTGGAAATCTGGGTCAAAAGTAATGGTTTGAACCGATTCGAACACCAGCACTAAGTACGGAACTGGAGGATGACATGCAATAAATCTTCATCAAACCTTCACCAGGAGAGCGGTAGAGCAAGGTAGTGAAAGACTAAATTTCGCAGTCTTCGTCGAAATCGAATTCAGGTGGATCAGGGGGTATTTCTTGAGGTCCACTTGGAAGCTGAAGCGAATCAAGACTGCACAGACGGATTTTCATATCCAAATCAACGAGGAATTGCACGTCTGCATCAAACTGATCGCTTTTCATCTGATGTAAGTTGGAGTGAAAACAATAATTTTCGGATTAGTAAGACGAATAGTGACTAAAGCATAGGTGCGCTAAGCAAAAGTAAAGAATAACGTGGCAAATAGACGTTAACAAAAGGGGAGTGCAGCTGATTGTGGACACTACCGGGATGCGTTCGGCTAGCGAGCAGAATTCTGGTGGAAATCCACAACCAAAATATGTCGAGGCCGACGGACACAAACGACAGGAAATTTAGAAAAACGATCCAGGACCTAACGTTCCCAAGCAGTTCTAAACTGGAAAGCTGTTGATAATTAAATATCTGGAGGCTACAACGGCTGGACACACGAGGAGACTACTATGGTCTATTGTTGGCCATCGGTTTGATGCCACCAAGTGAACGCGCATACATTCGCAGGAGCGAGCTTGATAAGTCGTCTTAAATAGAGGCTCATAACGATAGTGGTGGCTAAAATAGACTGGTCGTTAACAGCACACAGTGCAACGAACCACGTTAAATAACGGGAAGTGAAACAATGATCGTCGGGAATTGTATCAAACGTGACAAAACAAGCTAGCAGCACAGATGATTGAACGGGCAAAAAGTGCTAATGTGTTATGTGCTTACCCCTCTGCGTAACAGAATGTGAAAGCCGTCAATCCAGTATTTGTAATCCAAATCACAGCGGGCGACCAGTAGTATTTGCAGGGGTTCAGGTGATTCACGAATGCGTATGTGAAGAAGGAGGCTCTGAAAAGAGGGTTGTGGATTACGCGATTACGAGATGATCTGTGTCCAGCATCTGTCGAAACGAGTAATGATAAGATGCAGTTAGATATTTCACCAGATATGTTGCTGATGACCTAATCTGTCTCAAATGCTACGATTGGCTTGAAGAGGGGGTTCATGTGCTGCGGCTATGTTAGTGGCCTGTAAACCGGCCAACAGAGTTGTTTCTCTTGAAAAGTGGGTGAAACAACGACCATTTTATGTGCTATCACCAACGCGGCGCCGATGGGAGATACGGCTGGATGACGCACTCATGCACACACTTTTTTACTTAGCACCACTTTTCCATTCTCCTACCGGAATGTACCTTACGTTTATTAGATATCACTTGTTGGTGCAGTAAGACTATGCGGAGTGCAGGACTACCGTGTAACAAATATAAGTCCATTCTTTTTGACAGCGAAAGCACTAACTGCTTTTTGTTGACGTTTTTCGATAACCTCATCAGAGCCCCCAACAGGACTTGTAAAGCAGTGCTTCTTAATCCGTATAAAGTCAATGATGTGTGGGCAAAGGATGGTAAGCAAGGAGTAGTGAACATGATAGGTAGCAGTTGCCCGTAGCACCTGGTGAGCACGTAAATATTGTAGCAGTCTGGAGATATCCCAGGTTTTCCTAAGTCCGTCGCACAGAATACTAACTAAAATTGCTATTTTGCTTTACACATAAGTTAAAAATGCGAACTGTTGAAATGCATGTTGAATTCGACTGTTTGAATCGAGTGCCGCCTCTTTTACTGGGCGCCACGGCCAATTTCCATTGCGCGACCGCAATGTGTGCTGCGTCCTTCCGTTCCGCTAACTAGTAACAATCCTTGGCATCGTTTTCTTTTATAGCTATGACAACAATGAAGCTTTTAGTGCAATAAATAGAAACTTCCATGTATTGATCTGCCTTTCGGAACTGCAATCAGGGCTCCCGTTAAAACCTGAGTACCACACGTGACTTAATCAAATGGGGGTCAAAGGACGTCATCGAGCTGCAAACTACAAGTCCCTCCAAGTATGAGTCCAAACATAAGAACAGGTAATAACACGGGATTGCATAAATGAGTGACGTACACGTTCCGGATTTTTCTTCAGTTTCTCTTCCACTCCGGTCGAAACACGATCCACACAAACTAGAGGCCCTTGAGAAATAAAATGAAAGATGTGGGTAAGGCAGGGCCAGTAGTGTTCGATGCGGAGGGGAACACTGGATCAATGGATGATGACGGGTAAAATAAGTGCAAGCTTAAAACGTGTCGTAGGTTGGTAGTGGAAGGAATTGCGGATTCGCACATTACATAAGTGGACCAAATAAAATGCATAGGGGTGAATTGAAGGATTAATGGTATTAAACTAATAGGGTTGTTAGAGTGAGATGGTATCATGTAAAACGAAGTAACCAGTTGCCATGGTTAAGGCGAATAGAAAATAACAATCCGATTGCTCAACGGTCTGTGCAGATGTACGTGCGTCATCACAATTTAGTTCCGTTGAATATATCCAGAGTATTCGTTCAGGTAACAAAGTGTAGGAGGCTAAATGAGATATCCAATCGTTTTTTTGAAATGGCTAAGGTGAAGGCACAAACAACTGAGTTTGGAAGGGCGTTCTAGGAGTGGCAGACCCGGCAGGAGAAATAAGTTTATCGATAATCCAGACGACTGCAATGTTGACTTAGTTTTAAGCTATTGGCTCCGAGGTTGGTGTTCGGGCTGAGTTTCCTAAGGTGGCGGCATACGTGACTGGGGTTGCTCAGCATTTGGTATAGCAGTATGAAGTCTCTAAGTACTTGCCGGTAGCGTGCACTGAACACCCCGAGTATCTTCAGTCGTTCATGGTACGGAAGATGGTGCAAGCGCTTGACATTTTTTGTTGCTCAACTTTGTGGGGATTCGAGAGCTGCGAGGTCATGTTTTAGCCACCGTTGCCAAGCCCGGATTGCGTATTCGACGTGGGGACTCAAGTAAGCAATAAACCTCGGAGAGAAGACGGATGAGTGCTGTTGTGTCGCCGCCGACTATTTATGTCCCCACGACCGCAAAAAGAACATTAACATCAGCCAGGATCGAGTTGTATGCATGAGAACACTGCGTCTTTATATAAAGTACAGTAGTCCATGAAGCAAAGCTACTAAAGCACGTTAGAGCCAACCGACATTATAGGAAGCAAAGAATAATAAGAGCGAATGGGAAGTGATAAAGGAAGGAACCAATCAGGCGAGTTCGAGGACCTGGTATTAGTGTAAATAGGCCTCTAAAATAGCATCCATTATGAACGACGCAGGTCAGCTGATCAAAGCATAAGAATGATGCATTTAAACAATTGTCAAGAAACAAGCAATGGCGAAACGAAAGCAGGCGACTAAGAATTGTAACAAAAAGTACTGGGTAACGCACGAAAGGTCATACCGTTTGTTTCGTTCATCGCACATGTATTTGTCACCAAAATATTACAAGTTAGTGCAGAATTACTTTTATGAGCATAGAAATTTAGTTCAATGTAGTATGTGTGCAATGTGACCACCAGTTTGTTTGACAACTTCTTGCAAGCGAACCTAATCATGAAGCGAGCTGATGTCTTCGTTGCTTGTCCTCTGCTGTTAAGTTATGGAAAAATGTTATCTTGTAAGGGAACATTTGAAGATCAGAATGCAGAATCCTTTGTATGGATCGACGAGATATTCCTAACTCAGCAGCCGTCCTCCTTGTTGATTTGCTAGGACTTCGTGTCAAAGCAACGCGAACTGCTTCCATGTTTTCAGGGGTGCGGACACTTGGTCTGCGCCGTCGATTCTTCTCCACCACAGAGCCAGTTGTTTCAAATTGACGATACAATCTCTGAATAGTCTGTTTACATGGAGCCCATTTTGTACGAAAGTGTGCACGAAAACGTCTTTGTGTCGCTACAAAACTCCTCGTTTCTGTAAAATTACATTACAACTTTCATCTTCTGTTCAACACTCAATCTGCTCATATTGTGTCTGATGCCAAGAAAATACTCCATACTAACTTCGCGTGACATCTACCGGATTTTCCATAAACTAAAATATACGAATACGAGTTTCGCACATCACATCTATAACATTACATGTGTAATGAACAAAACAAATGGTAGAACATTTAGTGCGCTACTCTGTACATATTCATTAGCATCCCCATAACACATCCAAACTATTGAGTGCCTTCTGCAAGAGACCAACATGCTGGTTACTTCCTTTTGAAGCAGACACTGACTGCCTGGAACAACCGAAGTTGTACTGCACCGGCACACCCAAGTCACGCTCTTGAGAGCTTGTCTATAGCTCGTGCGCTCAAGCTTGTAGATGTGGGCGTGTCGATGGCGGCAGTTGTCCACATTGAACGGCGGTGTGTTCCTTGCCGACTAAATCCAGACCTCATAGAGGTCGTGCTGGAGAACTTGGTGATCGTACAAAATCTCGATCGCCCGCTAAACCTTAACGCCATCCGCGAAGAGTAAAAATATGAGGTGATAACGCTCGCTAGATCGTTAATAAAAACTAAGAACTGGTGAGATCCAAGTAGCGAACGCTGCAATACGCCGCACTCAACTCGAATCGAGTCCGACAAAGATGTTCAAACTTTAACCTCCATTTGTTGTTCGTGGGAACAGTTACCGAGTCATCCTAACACTGGACCCCGATGCCGTAGAGTTGCAGTTTGTGCAGGAGGATTCGTTGATCCAAGCGATCGATGGATTCGATGGCTTCCTGTCCCCTCATCGATCGTTTCGGTCCAATTGTTGCGCACTATAAGCAGATTCGTGGTACATACTCGATATCGACGAAACCAATGCTGCTCCGGCGCAATGACGCCTTTAGTTTTCCAGATAGCCAATCGGTACATCCGCAATGATCGCTTCCATGGCTTCGACAAGTACAGGGAGTAGCGTTACCGGGCGGTAATTGGCAGGTTCAGATCGACTTCCTCCCTTGTGTATAGGGGTTATAATACCCCGCTTTTATTTTGATAGATCTATGTTCTCGTTTAGACAGAAAGAAAGAATCAAGCTAATGGTTCGGCTAGGTGCATGGTTGATGTCTGCAGTGCCGTGGGGTGAATGTCATCCGCTGCAGAAGAGCTGTGTGTACGCAAGAATAGTAGCTTCCACAGCGACGTTTCTGCAATAAATGTGATACGGATAAAGCTGATGGTGGAGTGACAGAAGCAGGAATAACGTTCGAGGATTGTACTGGGCACGTAAGGCGATGACCCCCACTCTCTCGCTGTTTAGCCATCAATCATAGTGAGCGGTGGGCTTCCGCGCCGCACCTTACGAAGTCTATTCACGTGTTTGTGAAGCAGCTTGTGGTTCGAACAGAATCGTTTCGCTAGCTCCTGCTAGTGTGTTACCTTGTCCTCATGAACCAACTGCATAGAGCAGTTGTGTTGAACTACGTAGGCTGTCCAATTTTCTGTGCCGGGATTGCTTTTGTAAAGCCGCCATGTCTGATCCCTTAAGACCATAAATTTGCGTGTTCTGCTACTCGAAAATGATTTTCGTTTGAGGGGACAATGGAAAAATTTGGCTCTGATGCTATTGTCACTAATGAAATAAAGGTTTTAAAAATGATGTCCAAACTATTCCTAGAGTGCACTCAGTCATGAAGGTCCAGATAGCATTTTCGACAAGTGTGGGCAATAAGTGGTGATGTGTAATATGTAGGTTTTTATTTGCATGGTTAAAACGAGACATCCGCCTACTGGAACAGCCCCAAAGAAGAGCCACCAAGGCAACGCGTGGACCATCCGGTCTAAGTTACGAACTGCGTCTTCGTGTACTCGATGTGTTCTCATTAGAATACCGACGGCTTCGCAGAGATCTTACTCTCACATACCGGATACTAACTGAAAGCGAGCATCCATGTACATCACTGTTGACTCTAGCCCCTTACAAACAAAACCGAGGCAACCACCTGAAACTAATGACGCAACACTCTCGTTTGAATTGTAGAAAGTATTTTTATTCACTTAGAATCTGTTCTCACTGGAATGCATTACCAAGGTATGTGGTGAACGCACCAGACATGACGACATTCGAAAGACGCTTAGACCTTTATCTTAGTGATAAACGCTACACAACAGTTTGATGAAGTGCAATGATTTAACCACTGATACTTCACGTTCCAAGTTGGAACATTTTGATTTTAATTTGCTTTTGCATATCCAGCCTGTGGGTCTTGTAAAGTTATGCTTTTAATCCCGTCATACACTATCGAACTATTGAACATATCGACATCAAAACCCACCATGTTCTTCAAAAACGATGGGTTTGACACATGTAAACAGACACAGTTTACGGTGGTAGTGGCGCCAGTGAAGAAGTATGTTAAAAGGTGCCACAACTCGCTCACGAAACCTGACCATCAACACTACCATGTAGATAGGATAGTAAGGGGCTCCCTTTATGGTCCACCAAAATTTTCGGCATGTGTGGCATTGCAGCAAAGGGTGTGCTGTATCCAACATACTGCTAGGTGGAGGAATAGTATTTAAAGCAATGCTGGTGGGGATGCGAACGCTTTTTTGCTGGGAAAGTACGCCCGTAGTGAAGTTTGCTACGTGCCGAGAACTAGGTGGTAAAACAAATGACGATAAGATAGGAGAAACAGATGCATTGTGTACACTATTCATTTCAGTGTTTTCATATGAAACCTGTTGGTTTGTGCGCACCTGTGTTTCGGTGCGCAGTTACAAAGTTCGGTTGCGTCCAACGGTGTTGCCCAGGTTCTGGACACTGTCTTAGTTCGGATTAGCCTGAAGCTAACGCAAACATAGTTACACAGCCGAACGAATGTCCAGGAGCCGTGACACAAGTTTACAGTCGCAGACCTGACGTCCATGTGTCACGATGGATGCCAGTAGATAACGCAAGGGATATTCACCAACACACTTCTGGCGCGGCAGGAAACCAATGAAAAGGATGCCTGACCATCAGAATAACGTCGAAAACACAAAAGTTGCCAAGCTGAACTCACATAATTCCCGGACACATTGCTTTGTGTCCCGTAGCACCAATGACTTCCGATCAGGTGAGAGAACTACCTCCATTTTTTGATTGTCTTTGGGTGGGGGAACAATAATGGAATGAGAAGATTGTCAGTAGGTCACAAGTCATAGAAGAGGATGTGCCAAACTGCATCGCAATACCTTTGACATCAAGGTAATGATAAAATGAGTGTGGAAAAGAGTTTCATGGTTTGCTTTTTATTGCCTCTAAGTTCAAAATGAATCAGTTGAAGGTGCATTCAGAACTATAAACACAGCATGGTGCCGGCACCATCATATGCAGGGGAAGCGGAGTTGAAACCGTGTGTCTCACCAGCGTACAATAAAAACGCCGTGTGGAGTAACCCAACAGCGCTTGACAAAATGGTGTAATCGTGTTTCGTGAAACTGTAACCAAGGATCGTGCAAATCCAGTCGGTCAAAAGGAGTCTAAATCAATGTTAGTTGGGTGACTCGTCACGAACATAGCGCAACGAGCCAACAAGGGGATCCAGGCCAGGCCCGTAGTTGACTGGGGAGATCCAATAATGGAGCTGCACATGGTCTCACTCACTCGGCCGCTAGACGTTTTCGTTTGATGTAGAATCGCTTATTAAAGGAAAAGCTACAAAATAACCATCACGATCGTCGCAGGGCAGATGAGTAGAGTTACGTGTGAGGTTGCCAAATACGCGAATAGGTGGAGCACACTGAGTGCCGAAGTAGTCGTTTTCGCTGCAGCGAAAGGAGGTAGATGAGCTAATGAGCTTTCAAAGCGACTAATTGGTAGGAGTTCTGGATGACACTCCAAAGGTCCCGAGTTCGAGTTCGGTCCAGCTAATGATTGCAGACGGGTGCGAGACCGGAGTGCAGTGTCAGGAATGAGCATCGGACGGCTCGCAAAGTAATTTACGGCACCAATCATGTGGATACGGGACAAAAGTAGGTGCCGAATGTAGAAAACTCACCTCTACCAAACTGGCGGGTTCCTTTCTGTGGGACGTAGTCTAACGGAGCTCGGCAAGTCAAGGCGTTCAGTCGCTGTTCTCGAACATTCAGTTCATGCGCTTTGGTCAAGTCGATGTGCAGCTCCCTAGACACCAACAAATAGGGTGGTGATAGCATTGGGTAATTATAAATGCCAGACAATAATCATATATGTAGGCAATATGTGATGCCAGTTGATGATTGGAAACACCAGACAATGATCAAATATGTGGGCAGCGTTTTTACTGTAGGAGTCCGCTAGAGCGCACCAACAGGAAAGTGCAAAATGTCATGTGAATTAGTTGAGAAAGAAAATCCCAAGAGCGAGCTCAAGAGAGGTGTGGGCGGTTACCAAGTGAAATTCTGACCGGATTCATAGTGGTGACGTGTAGTATGATAGCCACAAGACTTGAATTATTTCAGTGGCTCGAATAACAGCCAACCCTACATGCAATAATGTGAACAATGCTGTTAGTTGTGTCCGATTTTCTACCTTGTGGATCGGTAATACCAAGTACAGTGATAGTCGACAGAACCACTGAGAGGTAAAGCACAACGCACACACCTGAATACATAATAATGGGGCAAGACATTGGTTATCTTTTCCAGTGCAGGCCATGTAGAGGTGTAGGTGCCACAGGCATAATATACGCTGCGACAAAAAGCTCACATATCAATTGATACACACAACATTCTGGATGAATATATACGCAAAATCACGTGACGTAGAATCGAGACTGAGTTGAACCAGACATTAGTCGGTCTCAGGGTTTCCAACAACGGATACTGAGCATATAAACTTAGAAAATGAACAATTTCACTTCGTTTTGCATTGTGAGCAAATGTCATCGGAATCTCTGTTACACAAGTTGAAGCTATAGCATCAATGGACTCGCAAAGCAAGCACTCCGAATGCGAACACTGTTTAAAAAAGCAAAGTCGCTAGCCAGAAACCAGATAACGCAGAGAAACTAACCGTAACGCCGCGTGTGATTGTAGCATCTTGCGTTGGCTTCGTTCCTCCTGCTCTCTCCAGATGGACCGCACGATCTGAGGAGTGAAACGACTCAGCTGCTCTTCGAATTCATCTAAAGAGACAGGGGTCCTCAGCAGAGTTTGGCTCAACTGTTCACGTAGCACTGACAAAACCTGAGTTGGAATGGAGCGGAAACACAGAGGAATGAAGTCCTCGGGGATGTGAGATCGATTGCACCTAGCAGAACAAACTCTCATTGATGTCCACTGTAGTCATGGGCTGAGCTTATGCACATGCAGAGGACTGAGGTTGACCAGAAAACAGCCCCAAAAAGAATGCGTAACACCTTCAGAACATAAATATAACTGAGCTGGAACTCTCGTACTATGAGGTGATGTCATATAGCAAATGCTTATGTCTACAGCAAAAACCATCATGGGAATGTTTAAACACCCGGTCGTGTTGAACCAACGTTTAGTGTGGTGTCTGACATCGATTAAATGTGGACGATATGGGTTAAATTTAAACGGGATCACGACGTCATCGGTGCATCTAGTTCGCTTTTCGCTGTCTGGAGCCAAGCACATGTAACAGACGTGACGGCGGCGAGACAGTTCTATCAGCAGCTGATCACATAGGTCAAAGCGAATGAGGACTACAGGTTGGAAAGCCCGACACTGCTCCTGGCCAAGAAACGGGAGTTATTATGGCCTGAAAACGGCGGTAAGCTATTAATGAATTAAAGTGGAATTTAGCGCCGTGTGTCACCCTGTTGCCTGGGATACCCGGTTATTCGTTTTCGTACGTGAGCACAAACGAGTGATCATGTAAGACTCTGAAGACAGTAACCAAGAAGACGAGGCATATCTCGGACTTAATACTCAGCCGTACAATAATGAGTACAGTACTGGAGGCTCGGGCGATCAGAGATTACACCGGTGCAGTAGCCAAAAACGGGGACAGCGTCGGTAGTGCTTTTGTTGCTGTACTAGATGGATATTAGATGTCAGCCTTGGTGCATTGGTGCCAGCCACTTCGGTCTAGTTACACTTGTGGTCTCCAGGTCTGACACATGAAGAACTTGCGTTGACTGGGCAATCAAAATGACGAAAATGGTTAACAACAACGAAGTTACACTCCAACAGGAATGGACTACGTTCAGTAACATTAGATTAAGGATAACAGAACATTCTGAGCACATATAGGGAAGCGCAACTCCAGTCAATGTACGCTAGACCCTGTGTGCTTGTGAATAGAGTGAACTGGACAATCGACAATGAGGAAGCGGAAAACCAAAGGGACAGATCACGCACCAAGCAAACTTACCGCGTTGATTTCGCGCTCGCGTGCTCAAACGTCAGTTGTGTAATGAAATCAATACGCCTTCGGGCTTGGCACATGCGTGGGCCAAGTGCACGTATGGTACTGCTTGCAACAGCGGCCGCGTAAGTGCGGGGGCGCCTTTGCGGCACAGTAGTGAGTGCGTGCGGAGTAAGATGCATGTGTCCTTGAGGCACTGCTCGTTCTGAGTCCACGATAAGACGAAAAATAGCAAGCCCACAGGTTGTCACGTGTCAAAGGCAAATGAGTTGGCCCTATTGCGCATACTGTTGGGGATTAACAAGAAGCGGTCACTGTAACTGCGCAACGCAATGAGAAAATTCCGACGTTCAGTCATAATGCACACTAGCTCGACTCTAGCTGACAGACGATTACTTAATTGCCTTTCATCGAGTCGTCAACCAGTCTAGGTACAGGAACAACTATTCGGGGTATATAGAAACAAACTATATGGAAGTGCGCGGTGTGCAGATATGCACAGGCTGCTGGGGGACGGAAAACGATCCAGTGCAGATCCGACCAGGCAGCCAAAGATCAAACGGTGGGCAGTAGTCCAGTCACTTAAATGATGGCAACAATAGAAGTAAGCAGTCCGACAAAGGTACATGGAATCACAAATCAGTAATACCACAACCAGTAAATCAAAGTAGCGTTGGCCAAGAAACGCTAGGGTACACTGGTGCACTATGAGCAGGGAAACAGGATGCTACGAATTTCATAACCACGATCCATGATGCTATTGGAAAATATGGAGCGGGAAGTACAAAAGCTAATGGAAAAATAAGCATACTCAATAGGTATAACTGCCAAACAGAAAGGCCAACAGGCAGAAACAACGGAAAAGAAGCAAAAATGCTTTGATCTACCGCCTGTTAAAAACGCCGGTCCCTCTACTCTGTTAATGCGGGACAAAGGGTCACTCGTTCGGGTGTGAGGTAGAGCGCACAAAATTTCCAACTGTCCAATAGTCGATGTTGGTCTATCTCAAAATGTCTCACCAGGTCATATGTGTGGATAACGACCGTTTGCGTGCACGGGGGTATGTGCGTACTTGCCAGTGTCGTCCATTGTGAAAACGCTGAATCAGGCACGGATGGTTGAGTTGGAGTCAACCTACGGCACGCCACAGGGTAAGTTCACCGATCGATACGCACGGTGTGTCGGACTGGTTGGAACGGAGACAGGCGGACAAAATCGAAACACCAGTGCCTCATTACCGGGCTACTGCAGTAGAAGTGTGGTTGCGCTTAGACAGGCATAACTGGCCTGAGCAAGGAGTGTGCAATAGGTGCTTAGTGTTATCTCAGCTAATGACAAAAGGGTTATTGGCAACGCTTTTGTAGACTGAAAGTTACCTCCCAACAACCTACCTTAGCAGCATAGGCATTTCTTACAATTAGGCCCTGCAAGTATGAACTGTGACGTTTTGAGAAAGAAGTCATGAAAAGCTATGCCGCCTAAAGACTACTCGCTGCCGCATAGCCTATTCCGCCTCGAAGTATTGAACGCCGTTGCAGGAAACGAGCGTGGTTACGCTGCTCAATTTGTTTCAGGCGGGACCATGAGCGTTCATTCCAACATATCCACTGATGACGCAACAACCATAAGTACGGAACGGAGCAGCTGTATTTCTAGGTCAGATCTAATCCTTGCGAATACTGAGAATCACGTATTGCACAAAGCGCGAAGCACATTGGCTCGAAAAAATGAATGACAAAACGTGGGACCACAGCACATGCATGTGGGTTCGCACGCATACTGTGCACCACAAGCCCATTATCCCTGTGATAACCTTGCTGACACATTATGCTGCAAATTCCGAATATCAAATTCAAATGCATCGATGAGTCACGATTTCATGGTTCGTATACTTATTGAAAAGTTGTTAGGCCATCTTTTTTTCTCCTTTGCGTGACCGGTATGTTATTGTTTGGAAACACATCCCACGCCAGTGTGTACGCCGATGAACAGAGTACAAATACGGAACCGCGTAGCTTATCCTCACATCACCATCTCGTTCATATTTCCCATATTCCGTAGGCACAATCATTTACAAGCATTGCCATTGTGAACCAAGTTGTACAGAAGTGATCAGTCTAAGCGCTGTCGTATCAGCTTTGCTCGTGGATTGCATTCTGGCCCGAAACGCTTTTGGCACCATTTGCCAGCGCATCAATATAGTCCAGGAATCAGTGATAACGGTGATTAGCATAAAACGGTGATATGTTCGTCAAGCACGAAGATGCTCAAGGTGCCCGCCGGCGTCCTGCTTACACTGCGGAAATCGCCTGAGGCAACCGGATATAACATTTTGCAAAGTTTCCGTGTTGATGGCGCGACATTCGTAGACAATAATGCCTCCCAGTTGTTCCAGTGAAATACGCGTTTTCTCGTAATCTCTTCTTTTCAAACTACCCCATAGGAAGAAATGTAAGCGGTACAAATCTAGTGACAGGGCAGGCCAATCTTTGAACCACTGCGACCGATCCACCGGTGACCGAACATCTCCTTCAGATAATATCGCACCGTTTGTGCATAATGGGCAAGTGCGCCATATTGAACCTATAACGGCTGAAGCGAAGTGCCGAAGTAGCCAATGATACTCATTGATGAAAACATCTTCATCTTGTAGCTTCTGCGTCATTTGCTAGCGACAGTTCCCTTACCATTGGAAAACTAAGATAGACAGAGGAATGAGAGAGTTGATGTGTTCTCCGAGCTGGGCGATTTTGTTGTAGACGTTTCATTGCCAAGTTAAGCAACATCCTCAGTGTGGCTATTAGGGTTTGATTCACAGTGCCTCGTAAGCTGTTGCCAGATCCCAGTAAAGATTGATTGGCTCCTGCTTTGGATGTCAGACTTCGATTCGCTCACGTGTGTCGGTCAAGTGGTCGCGCCTTCGCCCTGTCGATCTGGTATTTATTGTTGTCGTCACCTGCAGAGCTTCGTAGACACCTTCTAGTTCCAGGTGCTTGTTGATTGAATTCCGGCCCGAATGCCAAACTTCGATGAACTCACGCGCTCTGCTGTTCTTCGCTCTTCCAAGTATCTTGGCGTTTCCTAGATCAAACCGGTGGCCTTCGGCATCCATATGTACTAACATTAGTGACTTCATCATGGCGACGGATGGCCAGACTGTGTTCATGCAGTCTTGTACCAAATTTCCTCCCTGTCTGGCCCACATAGTATTTGTCACAATTTTTGCAGCAAATTTTGTAGATCACACCTGATGTTTCTTCTTTACGCAGCTGGTCCTTTACCCTAAACGTTTACTCCGAACGGTTTCCGCTGATTCATGGGCAACGTTGATCCTGTGAGACATTAAAAGCCTCGCTGCTATTTCAGAAATTCCATGGATATAAGGTAGGAGGATGGTTTTCCTTTCCATTGCGTTGGTGGAAGGGGTTGTGGCTGATTCTTCGACATCAGGCAGCGTAGAATAAAACTTTTAGGGTACGAATTCCGCTGAAACATGTTAAATAAGTGGTGTTCCTCCGCTTTCCTCAGTTGCAGCGTGCTATAGTGTGTTTGGGCTCATTTGAAAAGCTTCCTGGCGCAACTGCGTTTGTAAATGGCCGGGTGGTTACTGCAATAGTTTAGGATCTGATCGGTGTGAGTCGCTTTTCGATAGACTGTTGTTTCCAGGGGCCCGGAAGCATGTCTTTTGATGAGCACGTCATTGTCCTCCTCCTCTTTGGTGAAGTGGATGCCATGGGAAATATTATTGTTAAAGTGATGTGTTTCTTGCAGTTTGGAGCGCTTGATGATGACATAGGTATCGTCCACGTAAGGTACCCAAAGTTTGGGCTTTACTATTGGCACTGCCATTTGT